GACTGAGGTCCACAAGTCTTAAAGTTGCCAAGATTGGAGACCCCTGCACTAAAGGATATCAAGGGTCATTTGCTACAACAAACCGTCTAGTTAGATCCCATCATATATAAAGATGGGGCCAGCAAAGTATCAGGAAGCAAGCTAACCTTATTGATAACCCTTTGCTTCAATTCTGAGACACCATCATAATTTTTAATCCTTCATCAAGAACAGCCATCTTCTGCTTTGGCACTTGCAGGCCTTCAGTTAGAAGAAAGCAACCACAAAGAATCACTTTGCTTCTTTTTTAGCCATGCTAATTTGCAAAGCATGTGGTTTACAGTTGGGACTGTGATCATGAGCACACATTCATTATATATGTTCCAATGCTAATTAATAATTATGTGTAACAGAAGGATCGCAGTCACTGCGATATTTCCAAAATAAATTGAACGACCACCCTGAAAGGCAGACTAGCCCAGCTTCCCCTATATGAAAAGCATTAATTTTTAAACTGATGTGCAAGCTCGCTTTTTTTTAAAGGACCTGTGAATTGTTAAACAGAAATACAGAAACCTGACAGCAGAAAAGGCCCTAGTGATCCACGGAGTTTGCTCTCTTGAGTTTTTTGGTCGTTTTTGTTTTCCGTATTTATTTACAGTGTTCATTTATTTATTCATTCACCATTTTTAATTATTATTTTAATTTGATTTTTTTAAATTATTTTTGTCAGATGGTCGATGTGTTTATCTGAAGCAGGTTTAAACTCAGTTATTAAGGACCCAAGGTAGGTTTCTAATATAAACTTTCTTGTTCCTGTACAAATTACCATATTCTTTGTGTATATACACACACACACACACACACACACACACACACACACACACACGAAGGAAGGACAAAAGTTGCGAATCTACCCACCTATTGAAAAACGGATGGCTTCACTAATGGGGGAAAAAATAAGAATTGAAAGAAAACTTGGAAATGGTAACCTTTTGGTCCCTCCCATCTGTCCAATCCCTTAGATTAGATTAGATTAGATTAGATTAGATTAGATTAGATTAAATTAGATTAGATTAGATTAGAGGGTGTAGAAACCAAATCCCTATGGAATTCTCAATCCAGGTGCAGAAAGTCACACCTCCCTCAAACAGCATCTGTCTCCCAAAATGCAGGAAAGCAGGGAAAGCGGGAAGTTCTGCCTGTTGTGAGCTAAGGTTGACTTCAGATACAGTAAAAGTCCCTGTGCAAATGGGCGAGCAACTTCACCTCACGTGGGTTTTATGTGTAAATACACATTCCAGTATTTCTCTGCAGCCCTTCTATTTTTTTTTCTAAAGAAATTAAACAAGAAAAACAGCCTTTGGCGAAACGAAGCACAGGACATGAATCTGCCCCAGATACACCTTAAAACCATTTTGTGTAGGCGGTTACATTTCCAGCAGGTATAATTTTGAGTACTTTTATGTGACAAAGCAAGTAATGGCACCCAACTCAGGTCTATTGTACGGAACTGTGGTTTCCTTGACCACTCAAGGCCACACAAAATAAATCTCTGTCAAGCCATCAATCTGGGTTCCCCCTGCATGGCAAGCCAACAACATCAAATCCAACCCATGATGATTTAGCACAAGTGTGTGCCGACCATCCAAAAAAGCTGCCTATTCCTGCTCATGTTTGCTTTAGTTCCGAACCCAAAGAGGATTTTTTTCCAAGAGGCAACTGGACTTTCCAGTTCTTCTTTGAAGACGTTTCGCTTCTCCTCCAAGAAGCGTCTTCAACTCTGAAGAAGGACACCTTCCACAGCAAAACGTCTTCAAAGAAAAACCAGAAAGTCTAGTTGCCTGAACTTTTTTTCCAGTTGGGAAAAAAAATCCCCTTTGGGGACAATCACGACCTGGATGACTGAGAACCTATTATTCCATAGACCCTTAGTTCTGAACGTTGAGAGGAAGGCCCTCTGTCCATGGCCAGGAACACTGTCTCCTTCAAGAACTCCTGACGCGTTCTGGATTAAAAACGCGAGGCGACGCGAAAAGTCTGTCCCCAAGTCGCGCCCAGCCCTCATTTCTTCCCGCTCGGAGTCCGCTTCCACCCCAGTCCCCGCGGCTAAGTCCACAGCAGGTGACTCCGCGTTTCAAACCAAGGCGGCGCCGGGAAGCGAGCGAGCCCTGCCCGCGTCCCACTCAACGGTCCGAACTCGCCCCAAGCCCCGCGATGAACTTACCTTTTCCTCGGCTCTTCTCTCCAGCAGCAGCGGGGCGTCAAATCCAACCAGGTCCCGAACGGCTGGGAAAAGCCAGGAATCCCTTCCGCCGAGACCACCTCCGGCTCTTGGTCCCGGCCCGCCCGCGGGTATCCAGCCGAGGAGCGGCGGTGGGGAGTTACACGGGTGTGTGTGTGTGAGAGAGAGAGAGAGAGAGAGAGGAGACGTGGGAACCGGCCCTGCCGAGAGCGCCGCGTCCCGCTGCCCCGCGGCACGTGACTGGCGAGGGAGGGAGCGCCGCTCCGGAGTTGGCAGAGCCAGTTGCTCGCGGCTGATCTCATCCGGGATTTGCATAAACCCCCTTTTCGCGGCGCTGGCGAGGCGGGGACTCGCTCACCAGTGGCCGGGTGGCGGCGAATGCGGAGCCGGGGATGCCTCCCCGCCTCTCTTCCCTCCGTTCCTGTCCTTTCTTTCTTTCTTTCTTTCTTTCCTTCCTTCTTTCCCTTCCTGCCTCTCTCTCTCTCTCTCTCTCTCCCTTCCTTTTCTCGTTTTCTTTCTCTTCCTTTCTTCCTTCTCTCTCTCCCTTTCTTTTTCTTTCTTTCTTTCTTTCTTTCTTTCTTTCTGTTTTCTTTCTTTCTCTGTTGCTCCCTGCCTTCCTTTCTTTTATTTCTCTCTTTCTCCCTTCCTTCATTCCTTCCTTCTCTCCCTGCCCCTCCCTCCCTTCTTTCTTTCCTTCTCCCTCCTTCCTTCTCCCTCCCTCCATTCCCTCTTTCTGTTTCTTTCTTTCCTTCGTTCTTTTTTCTTTCCTTCTCTCTTCCTTCCTTCTCCCTTCCTCCCCTCTTTCTTTTTCTTTCTTTCTTTCATTAGTTTTTTTTCTTTCCTTCTTTATCTCTTCCTTCCTTCTCCCTCCCTCCTTTCCCTTTCTTTCTTTCTTTCCTTCGTTCTTTTTTCTTTCCTTCTTTCTCTCTTCCTTCCTTCCTTCCCCCTCCCTCCCTTCCCTTTCTTTTATCTTTCTTTCTTTCTTTCCTTTGTTCTTTTTCTTTCCTTCTTTCTCTCTTCCTTCCTTCCTTCTCCCTCCCTCTCTCCTTCTCTTTCTTTCTTTCTTTCCTTCATTTTTTTATTTCTTTCCTTCTTTCTCTCTTCCTTCTTTCTCCCTTCCTCCCTCTCTTCCCTCTCTTCCCTCTTTTTCTTTTTCTTTCTTTCCTTCTTTCTCCCTTCCTTCCTTCCCTCTCCCTCCCTCTCTCGCTTTCTCTCGGCTCTGAAATTAACTCGCGCCTTCCTGCTCAGCTGTCGGCGAGGGCTCCCAGGACCCCGGAGAGGCCTCTGGCTTGTGGGGGACGCCGGCGTGTTCCCGCGAAGGAGGGAGGGAGAACCGAGCGGCGGCCACTCGGGCTCTCAAAAGCGAATTGCGCCGCTCCAAAGCTCGGACGGGTCTCCTGGCTTTCCCCGGACCCCGCCTGGCTCTCTCCCGGGGCTTCCTTGTGAGACGACATGGGGGGGATCCCTTTTCTCTTTCTTAGATTTCCCACACAGTCTGGCTCAGGAAAAGAGAGGAGGGTCCTGAATGACTTGGATGCCCCCCACCCCCCAACTAAAGGGAACGGATAGAGAGCGCCTAATTTACTATGCAGAGGTCTCCAACCTTGGCAGCTTTAAGCCTGGTGGACTTCAACTCTCAAGGACGTTTCCAGTTGCAAAGTCGACTCTATAAAGAGTAAGGAAGGAGGGGTATTTACACAAATAATAAAGGTGGGTTAAAAATAAAATAAGTGAAATGAAATGTAGGACAGTATAGAGATAGTTCTTGACTTACAACCATTTGTTTAGCAACGGTTCCAACTTACAACGGCACTGAAAAAGTTACTTGCAGTGGGTCTTCCCCAGTAAAGTAAACTTTATGTCCACTCAAGCCCTAGACACCTGACTGCAAGGTGCTGCATGCAAAGCTGACCATGAGGATTATCCGGAAGCTTCAACTGGTCCAGAATGCATTGATGAGAGCAAGAATGCATTGGTGTCCATTTAGCAGCTGGACTTCCTTTGCTTTGCTTAAAGACGTTTGGTTTCTCATCCAAGAAGCTTCTTTAGTTCTGACAGAACTGAAGCTTTTTGGATGAGAAGCTAAACATCTTGAAGCAAAGCAAAGAAAGTCCAGCTGCCTTTTGGGAAAAAAAAAAAACACCTTTGGGACAACTATGACCTGGGTAACAGAATCTCCACAGACATGTCCATTTATTTATTTTACATGGAGTTCTGGGCAGCATATAATACAACTTGTTTCAAAAACTTGTTTAAAAGCAATAAAATAAATAAATAAAAGAGATAAAATTATCAGATGAAACCTGAAAAGTCAGCTTCGCTTCCAGCTGGTTGTTGGTTTGCTACCAGCTGCAATTCAAAGTTGCTGGTTGTTACCTATGTTTCTCTACAGAGCCAATTTGGTCTTGTGGTGAAGGCACCAGGCTAGAAACCAAGACTCTGAGTTCTAATCCAGCCTTACGCATGAAACCCAGGCTTTGGGGCAGTCACTATCTCTGAGCCCAACCCACCTCGCAGGGTTGTTGTGAGGAAAAGAGGAGGGAGCATAATGTATGTTCACTTCCTTGAGTTACACATTACAGGGGTGTCCAATTCAATTTCATTGAGGGCCACATCAGGGTTGTGTTTGACTTCAGGGGGTCGCGGGGGTCGTGGCCAGGTTGGGTTTGGCCAGGTTGATGTCACTCGTGTCAGAGGGGTGTGCCTGTGGCCCGAGCACTCTGCCAGCGAAAACCGGCTCCCAAGCTCTGTTTTCGGCCACGATGGCCTCTTGCAGCCCTACACCCGCAAAAACTGAGCTCAGGAGGGCCGCGTGTGGCCCTCTGGAGCTCCATTTTTGGCCGCAATGGCCTCCTACAGCCCTCTGCCAGCAAAAATGGCCCTCTCGAGCTCCGTTTTCGCTGGCAGAGGCACCGCGGGCCAGACCTTCACTGTTTCCAGGATGGCTCCACTGGCCAGTTCTAAGCACCCAGCAGGCTAGATCTGGCCTGCAGGCCTTGAGTTTTACACCCTGCTTTATTATATTAATTATAAAGTAATAAATGGGCCTGGTGACTGTGCTTAGGTCACCCAGTTTTCATACCAATGGCACAGAGATGCTATTCAGCCGGTTCTCACCTACTCGGGCGAACTTGGTAGCAAGAATTTGGCGTGGGTCGCCGAACCGGAAGCAACATCTAGCTGGCCACGCCCCCAACCCGGTCACCCAGTTTCCGCTCACTCACTTGCCCCGCCCACTCAATGCTTGCTGCCCCAGTTTAAAGGAGGACTGCTCCCCTGCCCTAGCCATGCATTTTCAAGCAGCCTCCTGAAAACACATGACTGTGGGCGGAGTAGCAGTCTGTTAACCTGCAAAACTGTTCCAAGGCTGGATTCTTCATGGACACTTGTTGAAGTATCGCTTCCCCTTGTGATTAAAGTGCCTGGAGCGAGAGGGAAAGAACGCTGGGGGAGAGGGGGGGAAATCCAGCCATGGGGAAGTTTGCAGGAGCTTCAAATGCAAGTCCGTTCACCTGCAGAACTTCTCCAATGCTGGATTCACTTCCCCTTGTAAGCAAGGTATCTGGAGTGAGAGGGAATGAAGGCTGACAGGGGTGTGAGTGTGAGAGAGACAGTTCACTGCCCGGTTGCTGGGTGGGTGTGGCCATGGTGGGCGTGGCGTACCGGAACTTCTGGGAGGGCCATTTTTCGCCTTCCCCAGGGTCTGAAGGCTTCCCTTGGGCCTCTAGGAAGGCAAAAACGGCCTCCCAAGGGCTACAGAGGGCCTCTGGAAGCTGGAAATAGGCCCATTACCAGACTTCCAGAACTTCTGGTTCGGCCCGTTTTTTGCCCTCCCAGAGTCTGCGCGTGGACCCTGCCTGCATCCAAAACCGGCAGTGTGGAGACTCTGGGGAGGGGTGGCGAGGGGCGGGAGGGGCCAGCCGGTCAGTTCGGCGAACCAGATGTAAATTTAACATCCGGTTTGCCCGAACTGGTCCAAACCAGTAGAATCACACCCCTGGAGACAGGGAGTTCTAGTCCCTCCTTAGCATGAAGCTGGCTGAGCCAATCACCAGGAAGGTCTGAGTTCTAGTCCTGCCACTGGCATGAAAACTGTCTAGGTGACCTAGGGATCTGGCCCATTTATTACTTGTGAAGTTTGTAATATTACCTATTCCTGCATTGAAAAGTGGGCTGGGAAACTGACCTGGGTTATTGCTGAACTATAACCCCCGCTGGTAGGACTCTGGGAACTGTAGTTTCAGTCCTATCTGGAGGATCGAAGATTTCCTTCCCTGATACACAGGATGTTTTAGAGCAGGCACGAGGAAGAATGCCAATAAAACTCCCTGATGCCATTAATCTCTTGTGCAGGAACACAGCGTCTTAATGGCAATGAAATTACCCCTGGTGAACTGGGAATTGCCAAAGATTAGAGCTAACAGTGAATTCAGTAAAGTGCCCATGGCACAAGACACCAATTTAGGCAAAGAATGGTGCGCAGGGTGGGAAATCCAGGCAGAATGTACACTAAAAATATTGCCTGGGGTTGTGCTTCAAGCTAAGCCAGCATGGTTTATTCAGTTGATTTGATTTATGTATGCTGTGTGAATTGAGCAAATTGCACCTTAGTTACCAAGTGATGGTTAAGCTATGGCTTAGCCATCTTAAATAGTCTTTTTCCTAAAGTATTGGGTTAGAACATTACATGTAGACCAGAAATGATTCGTCTGATGTTCCTACAAACACACACCAATGTGTAGTAAAACAAAACATTGTGAATGCTACCGTACTTGCATTTTTTTATTAAAACAATTCTCAAGGTTGAAGAGGAAAGCAATAGTTTTAATGTGGTTTGTTTGTTGTCTGGGCCAAGAAACAGAATTCATTTTTTCCCTCTGGGGGAATATAATTTTCAGAATGGGATGCCTGAAACTTTCAATCAGAAATGTTATGCTTAATTTTGGGCCAAAAGTAATGCATTGGGGACAGCAGGGTGAGTCATGCTATACTCAAACCCCTTGTTTCCTGGCTTCAGAAGTGAGTTAGATCCTGTTCCCATCCTGGTATTGATGCTGTGCCTCTCTGGGATTGGAAGATACAGAATTAGTGAAGAGCGAAAGTTAGTGGGACACAATTAAAAATGACAGTAAAGCATTTTCCCTGTTGCAAAATCTTCCTTTCAGCCAATCTGAGAGGTAGATTAATGGACACCAGATGTTTAGTGTCATGCAAGCCCAGCAAAGTGGCAGCGTCAAACTAATCATGGCTCAGCTCGAAACATGGCCAGGATTGGATTTCTTGTCTTGTCTTTGGGTGGGAGACAACAAGGAAATCC